GAAGGGCTTTCTTATATGTTATTAAACTATCTTTCCTGGCTATGAAAAACTCTTCTGACTTAGTGGAGCGCCACCTCCTTTCCATTTTTCGTGATGCCTGCTTTAGGGAGCAGAGCTGCAGGCTGTACCACGGGGCCTCCTCTGTTTCACTGCCTTCTTTTTCAGAGGGGCAATGGTATCAAGTGTATTACGCAGGGAGGCTGCAGTACTATCAACAAGATTATCGACTTGAGTGGGAGTAAAGTTAAGGTAGCCTCCTTCCACTGTGTTGAAGTAGATAAAGATGGAATTATTTCCTGAAACTTGGTAACAGCATTGTCGGATAGACATCTGCTGTAGTGGAATTGTTTCCCACATAGAGTATAATCCATTAATGGAAATTCAAAAGTTATTAGAAAATGGTAATCAACTGACTTTCTCTGTGTTTGAAACCGCCAAACTCTGAGAACTAATTAGAAACTAAAACAAAACCAACTAATGGCTTTAATATTCAGGCATACAGATTTTAACCCAAAACGAAAGCCTGTCATTACAGATGAACAGATGAAACAAACACATGAAATCCACATCGGGCTGTTTCCATTGGGTATGACAAATGCAGATCTAAAGGATCAGGATCATCAGGACTGGATCCGGATTTTGATTTGATTTGATTTGATTTATTTATTCTTTCAAGCATATAAAACAGTTGATATAACAACACACATTTTTACACACAATCCAATATCAATTAGCTTATACCTAATACATGCTTGAATGGAGTAGGAAGAAGTCAGACTTATCCAGTCCTACCCCATGACATCATCTTACCATCATTGGTTTGCAAGCAATAAATGATTCACTTCTGCACACACACACATTATACTAAAAAAGAATATAACAGTGTTAACATTCTTAAATCACACAATTGATATACTAAAGAATGGTTTACAAAATATAACCATTAAGCCTGTTCTTGCATATATCTTGATTGACACATACCTTTATATTTATGTTTAAACTCATCAATTCTATTTTTTTTTTTTTATGTCCACACTTAAATTATTCCATAGTTTTACCCCACTTATGGAAATACAGAATCTTTTTTTGGTTGTACGTATAGCATGAACTTTTAAATTTAACTGACCCCTTAAATTGTATCCCCCTTCCCTTTCATTAAATAGTTTTTGAATTCCACCAGGTAATAAATTGTTCCTGGCTTTATACATAAACACTGCAGTCTTATATCCCACTAAATCAAAAAATTTTAACAATTTAGACTGTATGAAAGCTACATTGGTGTGATCCCTATACTCCACCTTTCACTGAAGGTACTACTATTACAGTACTTTCACTGGAGATGCATTACAGGTGTTGCAGGATGTAATGCAGTGCCATGTTCACTGCATCGTCCACTGACCTGTTTGCCCGGTAGGTGAACTGCAGGGGGTCCAGCAGGGGGTCTACGATGTCCTTCAGGGGGGCCGACACCAGTCTTTCAAAGGACTTCATAACTACAGACGTCAGGGCGACAGGTCTGTAGTTGTTCAGTCTACTGATGGAGGTTTTCTTGGGGACTGGGATGATGGTGGAGCGTTTGAAGCAGGAGGGGACTTCACACA